GATGGGTCAGATGGCCTATGCCTAAGACCATGTTTTATACGCTTATTCCTAAGTCACATCCATATTGATTTCCTATTATTTTACCTAACTCACCTTTCCCAAGGTTATGATTTAGTGTATAAATCAAGTTCCCACTGGCAAAATGGAATAAAAACGTAAAGAGAAGTTTTTAGAAACGAACCCAAAAAAGTGCGAGGCACAATCTGGCCAAAATCCCGAGCGTGTTGAAAATCAAATAATTTGACTAAGACATTCCACAAGGATGTTGATAACTAATGTACAACATAATTAAATGAAAGTAAATGCACGAAAACATAAAGAAAMTATTTTTCATTAAACGTAAATGAATAAATAAGTCGTACAAGGAGTTCTAGCTTGACCCTCGTCTCTCTCGAGCTTGAGGGGAGTTGAAACTCACTAAAGAACTTTAAAAGAACGGAAGTAAGAACTTGAATTAAAAGCAATACAAAAGTTAAAAGCGTGAAAAACAAAGAAATGAACAATTAGAACGTAAACATAAACCCTAAAAACGTGTTCTACAACTAGAGAGCATCTAAAAAAAGATGAAATGAATCTTGGAAAGGATGATTTGTTGATGGAGGGATGACTTCCTTTTATAGCACCATAGGTTGGTTGAAACTCTCCTCCATTTTAGGTGGAAAAGTGTTGAGATTCACCTAACCACCTCACATGGACTTGGACTCACGGTTTTGAACATGTAGGAAATGTCCTCCTTGCTCTTCATTAATCAAAACGTGCGTTTTGACAATTTGTTCTCAAAAAATGCGCCGGGCGCAATTCTACAAAAACAGAATTCTGTTATTTTCTTCCAGTTTTGACCGCATTTATCTCATACTTTTCGTAAAGTACCATAGTTTGACTTTTATACAAAAACAATCTATTCATGTTATACTTTAAGAATATGTGGTCCTTTTTGGTAAATAATAATCGGAAAAGGATCAAAAATGTGGTCAAACAGGGCTATCGACACATGTTTCTGCAGTAAAAAGTCAACCCTAACACACCCCAAACTTAGCCATTTGCTTGTCCTCAAGCAAAAACAACAACAACAAATTTAAAACAATCAACATGTTAGAAAGATGAATGATCAACAATCCAAATGTTCTAAGTAAATTAATCATATATGTCTCAGAAAAAAGCTCCACAAGCTAAACGTCCTAACATTACTTTCAAGCCAACGAACCATAAACCATCCTTTGTTTTGAAAAAAAAAGATTCTAAATCCTCTTCTTTTCTAAAACACAAAACTCTTTTACAAAACCAAGGAATATGCACACTTTCGTTTTGATTCAAAAAGTTTTACATCCAAAAAGACACATGGACCGGGTACTAGCCCCTCAGGTTTTCAACACACTAACATCGGTTTCAAACCACAGCCACTCATAGAATCTCGTTAGGTAGTAACCTGGCATAAAATTATGTCGACAATGGTTTTCACGAAGTCACCTTAATATGTAGGCTACTACCCTCCAAGATGCTAACGCCACCCATTTAAAGAAAATGAATTTCTATAGCGGGACTTGTGAAAAAGTGGGTGCGTTTTCTTTCCTCTCATGTTTCTTACCACTCTTTTCTTACTCTCACTTTTATTTTGTTCTTTCCCCCAGTTTTATTTTCTCTCAAGACACTTTTTTTATTTGCTTTTCTTCTTCTGTACTATTTTTCATACTCTTTTTTTCGAAAAAATTTTCTTGCATATGATTCTTT